GTAACTGCTGTTTTTTTACGTTGACCCACTCGTAATCAACTCTACGTAATTATAATGGGGATGCAGCTGGCTTGCTAATTGATTTCGTTACTTCGTTTTTGATATAATAATTATGCATGTTTACTGGTTCAAACTAGTATATTTTTGTCCCACAAATCTTACGAAACATCTATAAAAAGTGGTTTTAAATGCATTCTTGTTCATTGGTGCTTTCTGGTTAAATAGACAAAATAACTTTCTGCCTACGACATAGCCATTGAAGAAAATGGTGATGACTTTCTTGCTGAATGCAATAGTGGGACAACAATTTCCTCAATTCTATCTGACTTTTTTTTCATCTGAACTATTTTTTAAAGCTGCGTTTGTTTATCTTATTACTATAAAACTTACTTGAGACACAGAAAGATTAATTTGCTTATAAACTTTTTTGAAACAACTTTTTCTCAATATTTGACCTTTCTGAGTTGTGTCACTGTTGTATTCGGCAAGTGAATACGTATCTGTATCTACCTATCTACTAAACCATTAGACAATGTTACTCGATACGGTAAAAAATATTATAACACCCAAAGATATTGAACTATTATTTCTCCAATAATATCGAAGCCATTTTTTATTGGCATATGTACCCCATGCACTGTTTCAATGGAGTCGTAGATCAAACCGTTCAAGAGAACGGAGAACGAAAAAAAATTTTTTTTCCGATGCTGATCATTTTTGGCGGTCCTGTAGGACCTACCGTTGTCGAGATATGTTTCTTTGCCAAGCGCATATAATTTTTAAAAAATCCATTTTGTCGATTTTGCGAAACACTCAAAGACATCAAATCATAATTTCTTTGATAACTTCAAAGAAGATTCGAGGAATTTTTATTTGGAAAGAAGTGGCAGACTAACTGTTAGATATGGCAAAGCAGAGAAAGTAACAGCTGTTTGAAAACTGGTTAAAATGGGCGTTCAGATTTATCTAAAAACTAGTTATAGGAATGATAAAGCAGCAGCTTTATTATGTTTGTGTTTTTCTCTTGTAAATATTGTCTTTATGTGTAATAACACATTACCGAATTAGAATTCTATATACGTTGGTGGAACGAGCTTTTCAATATATTTTTTTCAATTAACAAAAGGCCAATGACAAATGAAAAACGCAATAGGTTACTTACTTAGATAATGTCGAATTCGTATTCATATGTGCCGTTGGAACTGATAATAAATTAACAAACAATGCGTTTTGTTCATATCGCGCCGTCGTTAATATTCAAGGAACGGCGTTTCGGAAGCGAAATATAGCAGGGTATTTGATATTAAAAGTTTTTAATGTCTTGAATGAATGGTCCGCTTGAAGTGCGGAATGCTCAAGTAAAGTGGCACTCGTAGCCATTGGGTCGAAAACGAGAGAACGGGTTGGTTCAGATTTAGATCTACAATGCGTTGAATATTGCTCGGACATTTCAAAACAGTAAACAATTTCTAAAATTGTAATAATTGCAAATATGTGGTTTCATAACCGACGAGTTTGAAAGAGAAACCTCGTTAACCGAAATCTATTCATAAGTCTTAATTAAAACTGTGAAGTAATTACAAATGTGTGTGGGAGATCCAAATTGGGACGTTTCTCATGGCATTGAGTTGGCATATCCAGTAACTTCTATACATGGCGAGGGACGTAAAAATAAGACTTTTTTCATCAATCAACTTGGGTGGTTCGTTTTCCAACTTATTTAAAAACCGCTGACAAAATTCGTACCTAGGTGCATCTCTTGGTACAGTGTATAGTGGAATGGTTTTAATTCTTGCTCTTGCCGAAAATAGATTTTAAAGGCTTTAAGTTATCAGTGTTTCTTAAAAGTCTACGGATATTTTCAAAAACATTTTCGTTCGGGAAATCTGTCTTGATAAATTCTACTTGCTTGGCTTCCGCTTTGTCTCACTTCACCATAAACTAATAACATGTCATTTAATTCAGCCAAGTTGGAATGGTAAAGGGGCATTTTAAAGGTGTATAATATTTATTAAACTTAAAAACACGTAAACTTTTAGAACATAAACGCAACAAATTAATAAATATTTTTTTGCGGATTGGGTTTGAATTAATAGAGATAAATACAATTGCATTTAATCTTTTAATAGGCACTAAACAGTCTTCTTAATTTTGTTAAAAAAAAAGAAGTCAGTGGTGCTCAGTTTTTTTTTTAGAAAAGTATTGAAGCGATAGCCGGCTCAGCAGTCGTCCAAACTCTTTTCAATAAACGTTCGTTCGACTCATTGTCAATTTGCGAAAGGATTCCATTTTTAACATCTTTTTTCAATTGAAAAAAAATTAAGATTTGAAAAGTATTAGCTGTGATTGTTTCTTGCAAAAGTATATAAGAGTGACAACAAATCAATGTCAATTTTGACGAATATATTCCTAAAGACACATAATCAAAAGAGGCATTGACTGTTATAAAGAAAATTTAAAAAAATTGTCTCTTGTCAGTTGACAGATTTAAATAAAAATGATCCAAAATGACATCCTTCCAGAAAGATAATGCGACAACTATAAAATATGTATTAGTTTAAGTAACTTTTACCTTTCAAGTTGTATTCGATTTGCTACAGGCGTTTTGGATACATTTGGGGAAAATAAAAAATATATAAATTCTTTAACATCCTGTGGCTACGAAACGAAGCAGAATCTGTCCCATGCTGATATACAAAAAAGTTTTATTTTTAATTGAGGAATCTCCCCTTCCCACATGTAAAATCCAAAATTTTCCATGTTTATTATGGGTTCAAAAGAAGAGAATTATAGCGCCACCACAAATATGTTTAAGATAGAGAATGAAATATTACTTACTTCTGGAATTTCTTTAATACATTATTAATACATTTAAAAATATAGATCTTCAGGAAGGATCAGCGTTTACTTGGATTGAAATTACGATCTGGGCTCTCAAGACGACTACGATTGTGATGGTAATTAAGATGATGATGACCTGATTATCTCATCAGATTGTTTGGTAAATAACGTCCCTAATAGTATTAGTTGCAGTAGGAACAAAACATTTGTAGCGGACAAAATGTTCATGTTCACTGCAGAATACTATACAGGGTGTTTCAAAAAAATGTGAAAAACTTAGGGTAGTGATTGAAATAAAGAGTAGTTTGTTATATAAAGGCTGATTCAAAAGCCAACCATTAGGGAGATATCTCGCTACAAATATGGCGGAAAATAAAGCTTCCAAGGAATTGCCGTTTTCACTGCCGTCCATAAAATGTATATCCGCCATTTTTTATTGAATTAAAACCTTTATTATAGAACAATTGAATGATAAGGTAATACATTTTTTGATTAAATTAGTCGTATTTTGCATTCAAACTGGCTGAGTAATGTCAAATAAGGCAATAATAAGAAACGCCTTAAGAAGCGATAGTTATTTTTTTTTCGTCTCATTGTGTATGGTTTTAATTTTTTTTTGGAAACGGTAGGTATTACAAAAAAATGCACGAGAAGTTTCTAAATTGCATAACTTTTTCTTTAAATTTAAGGAGAATGATATGGGTAATTTAACCTTCACTCATTAAAAAAAAAAATAAAATAAAAAAATATGCAGAAAGTCTATTTGTACAATAGCAATATTTCCGAAATATTTTATTGTTATATCTATTTTGGTTTTTAATAGTTGGCTTGGCAATGTTTCCTTTTCTCAATTGTTTTAAAACACCATGTATAATAATAGTGATTAAAACTTTTAAAACATAAAGTTTGCTCTTTTCTGTTGCTACAAATTTTATGTTCTGGAATAATAAATATGTTGCCGTCGGAATCTGAAACATTTTTTTAATTAGACTAAAACATAAACATCCGGGATACTGCGAACCGCTATTTGTATCGTCCCACTGATATGAATAATATGCGTTACGATTATTTTCAACGAATTTAAAAGTAAAACAAGTTGTCTTGTCTGCTGGCACTATTATATACATTTGAATATTTAATATCTTGAATCGCACCAGTTCAACGACCCTTTTTGTTATTTTTTTGTTTTTGTCTCTTTTCGTCTCCTCATTACAGTTTAATTGGGAATTTTAGCACGTTTATGTTAGTGTGTGAATATAAACAAATTAGATACTAATTCTTTAAATTTATATATTCTCTCCATCTTGAAGCACCTGGTCGGTTCCGCTAAAAGTTGCGTAAGGCCAAAGTACTAAACTGTATGTATTATTTCGCAGTATTTTGCAGTAATTCGCAGTATTCGCTTCAACATATGCAGCAGGATATGACAAGTTTATTAGATTTTCCGTCTTCGTTATTACAGATCTTGAGGCAGCCTGGAGTATCATTTGTTACTGTTGGTTTTTAGCTGTGTTGTCGCGGCAGGTATTAAAGTACCATGCAGCATCAAGAAATAAATATTCATATAGAATTAGTATTTGGGATAATGAAGACTACAAAAGAATATTTTATAATAAATAAAATAAAATGAGACCTTGTTACTGGATATTTATAAAACAAATCCAAAACAAAACTTAGATTTAAAATAAATTATAAAAAACTAATCACATGAAAAACAAAATAAAAAAACGTCTATATAAACAGAACAGGAAATTAAATAAATTAAGTGAGTGACAACAAAAATTTGATGTCATAAAATGAAAATAAACTCCACTAATTCAAAAAGTGCCGGGTCTATATATATTTATATGTTTTAGTGTTTTTTTGTGTGTCGGAATCTAAAGGAAATAATTAAAAATGTCACTCCAGTGCCACAGCATATTTTTCTGAACATTCCATCAATTTTTAAACAATACTAACCACAAAATTATCGATGGAGCTGATATTAAACCTTAACTTCATTAATGTCAATGAAATGACTGAAATAAAGTGAATTCCTTCTGAAAAGCTGAGTATCTGCTAAAAAAGTCTATACTTCAGCTTGTAGCAAATTGTTTACTCATTTTTACGAAAGTAAATATAGATAGAGACTTTCACTTTCATATTTCCTTACTAGTTTC